GAGCAGAAAGCCAGGGTGGGGAGAAGGAGGAGGAGGAGGAGGAGGAGGAGGAGGAGGAGGAGGAGGAGGAGGAGGAGCCAGAGGCTTAATCCTGAAGAGACGTTAGGAGCGAGAGCATTTGCAGTGAGTACAGTTGGTAGGTCTTCGTTTTTCTGCTCCTTTATTTAAGACAGGAAATTACAGGAGAAAGGAGAGATGGGCGATTGTGAAGGCTGTGGAGCTGGGATCTCTGCCTTTTGATTTGTCCTAAGAAGGCGGCTCTCTTTAAACACATCTGTCTAATCAAGTCAAATGCATCCTGGTAGCCTCAGGCTCCAGCCGGAAACTTTTGGATTGCTAGAGAGATACTAGTACCGGTCCTTAGTGAGCAATCCGTGGGGGGTTTTCTTCTGTTCCCACGGGAGAGTGAGTAGAGTAAGGTAGGCAAACCTCTCCCACAAACTACCAAGGAAAGCTTTAAGACCGTCACCGCTTTCCGCCTTTGTTCTTTGTGTATGGCCTCTTCTTTAGGTGTGTGAAAGGGAAGGATTGGAGGGATGCTATTTTTAACAGGAGCAGGGATAAAGGGGGTATTATCTCTAATGCTAGGAAGGTGACCACAGACAAGCATTTGATAATGGGAAGGAGGGGGAGCCCTTGGATTTCAAATGCTGATTGATCAGTCCTCTGTCTTCTCGCTGTCAGTGGCAACTCTGGTGGGTACCTGCACGCACCTGGCCTAAGGCGTCACCTGCACTGTCCTGAGCTATTGTCTAGTGGCTCTTTCTTTTCTAATATCTTTATGACTAGATGGCATCTCTTCCTTTGTGAAATGTCTCATAAAGGAGAAACGTAGAACTCACAGCATAGAGAAGTAGAGGCTTCTGCTGAATCTCCTCCTAGTTCATTTAAGTAGAGTAACCAATTTGTTTCAAAAGCAAGAATGAGGAACCATAAGGGCAGGAAATTCTACATGAAGAGCATTACCATAGTCTCCGCATGGTTGAAGCTGTTTGAATTTGAATTAGGCTGCAAATTTATCCTTTATATCTGGTGTGATTTTTGTGAAAACCAGGAAATAGAGCCATCTCCATGGTACTGTGTTGCAATGTGAACTCTTCGAATTGAAACTCAAATGTTTATAGCAATTGCTTGCCATGAAAACATGTAATTAATTCATTTATGCTGCTTCCCAAGCTTGCTAAGCATATGACACATGTATTCAAAAGTATATGTAAAGGCGAGCAAACGCTATAAGCTGAAGTGTGAGCTAGTGAAACAAGGCTTTGTTTAAGTCCTCTGGGTCACACAAGAATATTCCTTGCTTGCAGTCTGATTGGTTGGACATTTGTCACAGGAAAATCTTGCTTTGAAGTTTGGCTTTCAGGTCTCCTGCCCTCTCGTTCTTAGAAATGCACACTCTGTCTTCCCCAGACACCTTTCTGTTTAGTTTTCCTGTCCTGTGTGTCCCCTTTACACATATAACCACATCTATGCTGTTAGTCTCAAGTAGAAGGTGCCTAGAGGGGAGTCCCTGACATGTTTGTTCTTCTGGGAAGAATTAGCAACACCACTGTGCTCCATAAAGTACTTTTCTTGGTGCTCATTGAGTTTTTCTATTAGGAAAAGTCAGTTGGTCTATTTGTGTGCTTCGGTATCATGGAGAGCATATTGTCATTGTTACACAGCCCTCAGTAGGGACAGGAAGCCGTAACGACTGTCAACTCCCCAGATCTCCTACTGTAGGCAGTCTCGAATTCTTCCAGCCAGATGAGATATTACTGTTTGTCTAGTTCAGGTCCTTTATTTTTGCAGATGAGGAAACTGAGAGATATTGAGAAAATGCACTGCACTTGTATGTAGCCTGTCAGCATGTGTGGAAGCGTGGGTGGAGACAATTCTATGGCATGTGGGTGGGCTGATTCTTTAATACATTCTCTAGTCTAAGGTAGGGTATGTATCACTTGGTTTAGGAATCTCACAAAATGGGAAGTCAGAGAGGCAGGTGGAGCTGAGTTCAATACCAGCCTGGTCTATAGAGCGAGCTCTAGGACAGCTAGGGCTACACAGAGAAACCCTGTCTTGAAAAACAAAACAAAAACCTGGCAGTCAGGAGGTGCCGCCCATTAGTTGTATATGAATCTTGGGCAAGTGGGTGACTGTATGTGTATCTGAGGCAGTTCTGTGCACATCCTCTGAGTCTTAGTTGTTTGTCACTTTGGCTCAGTCTAGTTTCTTAAACATTCACTGTAACATCAGTGTGTTCTCCATTTGGAAACAGTTCTGTGCCCTTGAATAAGCAAGCTTTATTAACCTTTGTTATCAGGTTCTTGAGATTTGATATTGGTCCTATAGAAGGCAGAGAACTGATTAATATTTTAGATGTGTTTTGAGAAGTCAGAATCAGAGCCCTGTGAGACTAGGGTGTGACTTGTGAAGGACTGGGGTAGCTCAATCTTCCTGGGGTTGGATTCCTTCAGTGAAATTCTGATATCTTTGAATTTTTTATTATCCAAGTCTAGTATGATTATTATTTTAAAAATTGGACACAAGGATGGTTAAAAAATATGAGGAGTGTATTTTTCCCTCCCGCACCCAGTTAGAAAAAGCTGTTGAGTTCACCAGGAAGATTATAAGGCAGGCGTCAAAGGGGTCAACCAACTTTAGACTTGTGTTTTGCCTTTTACAAATAGCTTTGCTTCAGAAAATCCACTGATAAACTTCACTTAACTCAACATTTAGATGTTGAAATTAGGAAAGGGGAGCTAGACACTGTGGTACTTGCTAGTAATCACAGCACTTGGAGGCAAGATGATCAGAATTTCAAAGGAAGTTTGGGGTGCATAAGCCTGAGACCAGTCTGCACTGCATGGGATCTTGTAAAAAAGAGATGAGGGGAAGGAGAAGGAAGAAGGAAAATTAGAGAGAGGAGAGAGAAAGGAAGAAAGGAAAGGAGGGAGTCAACAGAGAGGATTATGCTGCATATTCTGCAGTCCTGAAAGGCTACTTAAAGGATACAGGAGTAAAGGACTCTTAAGCATTTTTGTCAATTCTGCAGGTCTAGCTATTCCCCATGCCCACCCCGGTGTGGACAATTAGATGTTGTTGGTCAAACTGGAAGCTGTCTTGATTTAATTTCCCATCTATATTGGTTAGTAGGAATAACTTTGCTTTGGTTAATGTGTTGGTTGGTTTTTTTTGTCAACTTGAAGCAAGCTAGAGTCCTCTGGGAAGACAGAACCTTGACTGAGAAAATGCCTCTATCAGACTGGCCTGTGGGCAAGTCTTTTTCTTGATGAATGATTGATGTGGGAGGGCTCACTGCCCCTGGGCTGGTGGTCCTGGGTTCCATAAGAAAGCAGGCTGAGTAAGCCATGGGGAGCAAGTCAGTAAACAGCACCCCTCCATGGCCTCTGGTTCCAGTGCTGTCTGAGTTCCTGCCCTGATGTCCCTTCATGAAGGACTATGACCTAGGAGGTGAATTAGGTCTTTCCTGCCCTTCCCTCCCCAAGGTGCTTTGGTCATAGCCTTTGTCAGAGCAATAGGAAGCAAAGCCAGTCACTAAGTGACTATTATGAATCTGAAGAAATGTGAGCTATTTTCTGATAATCACATTAAATTTCTGAACTTTTGATCAGCTTCTTTACAGTAATGAAAATATAACTTGAATGTGTTTAATTAAAAAAAAAAACCAAACTCAAACTCTCAACCTTGTCAAATACAAAGAAATCCACTAGTCTTGAGTAGAAGCTGCTCCTGAGACTGAAATAACATCCATTTGTTATAAACGTAAGAGCACAGGGTACTTCACGCTAGACCACTGCCAGAAGAATTTCCAGCAGGATCATCGTTAGTAAGGAACCTTTATCCTCAAAAGCAAACTTAGTTCACCGTGATGTACACTTGTCATCCTCAACTGTCTGGTAACTCTTACTAGTACCTGTCAGAACAGTTCATTGCTCTTCAAATTCTAAAAGCCTCTGAAATTTTCAACAGAGCCACATTTTATATTAATGTAGCTTGGGTTTAGCATTGATTAATCAGCATTAATTAGACCAATTTAGTATAACCTATTTTTTAGAAAACTGACATTTTGGAATTGCTACATGTTTGTCTATCATCTATGTATCTATCTGCATATGTATGTATGTGTATATGTATGTATGTATGTATGTATGTATGTATGTATGTATCTATCTATCTATCTATCTATCTATCTATCTATCTAATCTTCAAAATGAACAATATCTGAGACCAGGACAGTGTGTGTGTTTCATAATTAGGACACCCTTCTCTAGTTATTCATGTATTGAATATGTTGGCTTTAGTCAAAATGTTATTTGGATGTATATATTAGGAAAGCCCCTGTTAGCCATTGTTTCAACAAAACAGAAATTTGTTCTTCTCCATCACATCAGCAATGCTGGCAGAGTGGCAGCGGTGTCCGGCTGGACCCATGTCCCTAACCCTGTGCTTCACCATCATCCCCTAGCAGCACCCCAGAGCATCTTCTGGGCTGACCTGGAGCTGGACCTCCGGCCCTGGAGTCCACCACATAGACGGGAGCAATAGAAGAAACAGAAGGGCAGGAGGGCGGCGTCTTCTAGTTCAGTCAGTCCCTCTAAATGGCTCTCAGCATGTCTACAAAGCTATTCCACTTGCTTCTCATTGGCCAGAACTTGACTGTAGGGAGGGCCATAGATAGCTACAAAGGAAAGAAGGACTGTAGTTCTGAATTCTGGGCAGGAATATTCACAGCTCAATCTCAGGATTCTGTTACTAAGGAATGGGGGGAAATGGGTATTTGGGGAGATGGTACCACCATGGTTTTGTGTCACATGCTGGGTCTTGGGGCTACAATGTAGAAAATCAAAACACCTCTTTCTGTTTTTGTTATGAGCAATGGTTTCTTAATTTAGAAATCTGCCTTTATTTAGAAACCCTGTTTCTTCTGGGAAGTATCGTGGCTTTATTTGGCAATCTAGTCTGACTTCGCTTTCCTATTTCTTTCTGCCTTTCAGCTGTTTTGGAAAGAAGTAAGGCTTAGATTTCTCCATGTTAACCATGAGCGTGACACTGTCCCCACTGAGGTCACAGGACCCGGATCCCATGGCGACTGATGCCTCCCCCATGGCCATCAACATGACGCCTACAGCAGAGCAGGAAGAAGGAGAGGCAGAAGAGGCCATGAAGGACATCGAGGCTGAGCAGCAGTACGGAAAGCCACCCCCACTCCACACGGCAGCTGACTGGAAGATTGTCCTACACTTGCCTGAGATTGAGACCTGGCTCCGGATGACCTCAGAGAGAGTCCGGGACCTGACCTACTCAGTCCAGCAGGATGCAGACAGCAAGCATGTGGATGTGCATCTGGTCCAGCTAAAGGTAAGGCAGGCTCTCTGGAAAGAAATCTAAAAGTGCCTCCTGTATCTTACAACTCAGTTCTGTAACGGCCAATGAGGAGGAGTCCAAGGGGAAAACAGGGTGACAGGTTTGAAGCCTTTATTCTTGATGGTCAACACAGATCATTTCTCTTCTAATTTTACTACACAGGCCAGTCATCGAGAGCAAAACGGGCCTTGGAGGACAGAGCAGAGACAAAAGGAAAGGAGGGCCCTTTTGTTCAGTTTCACAGGAATCAGCTGTGGAAAGTGAAAGGCTCTTACAGACAAGTACAAAGGCTTAATGAAAGACTTGTGGTAGACTGTCAAGCTGTGCCGGTGAGCGGGTCATGTGATCAGTACCTTCGGCTGAAGCCGATGCCGTCTTTGAGGCCAGCAGTGGTTTCTACCCTGGTGGGAAGGGCAATGTTCTCCTTATAGAGCGATCTTTCACCTGAAGACACTGCACCATGCAGGAGGAAGGAGCTTTTAATAGCAGTCCATTTAATGTCAGATGTTTGAAAACATCTATGGCTTCTGGTGACCTCTTAAAAGTGTCACATCATGGAGAATTGGAGGTGCTAGTGAGAGTACAATTAAACAAGAGGCTCCAAAAATATATACCGTGACCTCTACTCTGAAATAGTCTCTTCTCTCTCCCAGGTCCTGGAGGGGAAAAGTACATAGCATACAGGTCTTGTATAAACTTCACATTGGATGGGGTCCTAAGGAAGATTCTTTTACCAAAGGCTGGTTCATCTTAAATGACATAATAAAAGGCTAAACAGATTCTTAGATCCTAACACTGAAATGATTTACAGCTCTAACCACCATAGAAGAAAGACGCGCAGTTAAGAGAGAGCATGTTTCTCAATGTTCAGAGTGGATGTGGCTTAGCCTTTTCAGGTTGGTGCCGCAGATCCTGTGCCTGAAATCTTGGTTACATTCCTGCTGTTGTGATAAAGCACTGTGACCAAAAGCACCATGGGGAAGAGGGGGTTTATTTCAGCTTACAACTCTCAGGTCACAGTCTGTAACTGAAGGAAATCAGGACAAGAACTTAAGGCAGGAACTGATGAAGATGCCAGAGAGAGATGCTGCTTACTGACTTGCTCCCCGTGACCTGTTCAGCCTGCTCTCTTGTAGAACCCAGGACAATCAGCTGAGGGATGGCACTACCCTCAATGAGCTGGGTGCTCCCCCATCAATCACTAATTAAGAAAATGCCCGACAGGCTTGCCTACAGTCAGATCTTATGGAGGCATTTTCTCAATTGTGATTCCCTCTTTATTCAAATAACTTTAGCTCGTGTCAAACTTACAAAAACTGACCAGAGACCAGATTGCTACATTAGTGTTAAGACGGGTTCAGAAGGAGAAAAAGGGGTGAGAAGGGAGGGGGAAGGAATGAGAAAAGGAGAGAGGAGAGCATGTGAGTGAACAAGTGTAAGCAGGAGAACCATAATGGGTCGGTAGCTGCTCCCCACGGGTGGTACAGGCCTGGGATCTTTCTCCTTCTTTCCACAGTCATGGGAAGAACTCATCAGGATGGCAGAGATACGGTTGGAAGCAGCCTCAGCAAGATGCTAGGCCCTGCTAGCTTCCTCCTGTGGCAATCGGGAGTACTGTGACTGGGTCCAGAAATAGTTTATTCAGAGGAATAGCCCCCTGGGCATCTTGGGGTCAGAGTAAACTAGAAGTTAGGGGACACTCCTTCACCCTGCGCCCTCCAGTGCTGAGCCAGTGTGTGGCTTCCAGAAGTTAATGCAGGGTTGAGCTTGTACAGAATCAACTGTTACCTCTTAAATCCTTCACATTTACACGGGAAGTTGGTAAATGCTACAAGAGAATGGGAGGGGGGTGGACATTCCTTTAGAAGACTCAGCTAAAAGCACTATTTATGCTAAAAATGGTCTTAAAATACTAATTTTTCACCATCTTCATTTAATTAGATCAATGGAAGCCTACATTTTAACTCAGAACAAGAATGTAAGTTTTTGTGCCGTGAATGTCTAGTTGTATTTAGTGTTTGAAGAACCTAGGGAGATCTGCTTTTCTCACTGTACTTGAATCAGAAGGCTTCTCTTATCTGTCTCTGCTCTACCCCAGGGTGTGGGTTATCTTCTCTGCTGAGAAAAGAGCTGCAGGAGATGTAAGGTCCTCACAGTGGCCATTTGATATCAGTCAGTGACTGTTCAGTGATGGACTGGGATTGTCAACCTTGATTTTGTTCCATAATTTCTGCTAACACTTCTCTGAGTGCTTGTTTCAAGTTACTTAGCTAATTCCCTGTCATGTTCTCAAGTTCGTGTGACAGTGGGGCCCTTCCCCATTGAACCCAGTGTCAGCAAGCTGCAGTCAGTGTGTGTGGCCTCGACTTTGGTCCGATCCGTACAAAGGGCTTACTTTTGAATCTCAATGCGCTAATTACATAATATTTCTTCTTTCTGTGAAATTTTGATGCGTTTAAAATTTAATACGTGTCATCTTTTTGCGCTCTACATTAATTCAAAATAATAAAGGGAGCTTAGCACAGTGTCTTATTAGAAATTTAAGGGGACAATCTTGTAAAGGCAGTTCCCAGATGAGACTTGTGGCAAAGTAGAGGGACAGATCCAATTTGGGTGAGTTGTCCCCGCTTCACATTCAGTGCTTTAGTTAGTCCCTTAATTTATTGATTTACAGTGCAAAGCCATCAGCATGGGCTGGGAATTCCTATGATCTTGGTGCAGAGAAATTCTAGTGTTGTGTATCTCCACTGATGCATTAAGCCAGATCAAGCTGAATTTAAAAATTTAAAAAAAAAAAAACCAGGTTTATTTGAGCAACACAATTTCCTTGTGAGTTCTCCAGTCCCAGAGATCCAGGCTGGAGAAGTCACGCGCCTGAACTAAAGCAGGGAGCTTATATAGCCTGTAGGCAAGGAGTGGTGACATGACCACCACGAGCTGGGTTTGTGCCCGAGTATGGTCAAAGCTGAAGGCTTTAGGTGGGGACTTGGGCTGCTGGCAGCTTCAGGAGAAGAGCTGCTACAGCCACCAAGAGTGTGGAGCTGGGCTTTTTGGTGTCTTTTCTTTGTTGGAGAGTCTCTGACAGGGTGGGATTTGGAGAGCGAGGAATGGGGCTTCTCAGACCACGCAGGAGCTGCAGGAGTGAGCTGGAGGTTCCAACCGAACACCAATGTTCCCCAATGCTGCAAACCCCAGCTTCTTACCTAGCTTCTCTACTTGTTCTTAGCAGGCATCTCAAGATAGAGATGTCCACTCAGTCACTCTTAGTCCTCCCCTAGTTGTTCCAGTCATGGTAAAGGGACCATTTTTGCCTAGTGAAAGCAAGACTTTCTACCCACACACTCATCCCTATCAACAGGGAACCCATTCCCCAGATGAGCCCTTGGCTTATTCACTGCTGCCTGCGGCCAGCCTACCAGGCCATGCCCTTGCTTGCCTGGATACTGACAGCCTCGTAACTAATCATGCTTCCTCTTATCTTCACTGCCCTAGCAGCTCATTTCCCACCTGGGAGCTACTTTTTGAAAGATATTCATCAGGAAACGCCATTCTCTTGCTTCAGATCTCTTCCTTTGACTCATCACTGCCTAGATCTCTGGCATGATGCTTCCCACTTTACCCTTATCGTTAAGGCTCCAGATACACCGGAAGACATGTCAAGCTAGTTCTTGCCTCGTAGCTTTCCTTGTTCCTTTTTTCCTAGAGACTCTTTCCCCATCATTGCATGGCTGACTTGATCCTCAACAAGCTATTAGCCAGAGGCACAGCCAAGTTCTAGCATTTCTATGGGAGAGGAAGGGGCAGAGGTTGGGAACAAGGAGGTGAGGTCTATTCTGTGCTTGGTGAAGGAAACACACACACAAGCATCTCATTGTCTATGAACCTCTCACTGCCTTTACAGTTCTTGTTTTAAGTCATTTCTACATGGTCTTCTCTGCCATTATATTAATGCACACTTTTGAAAAACTTCTTTGAAAAAATGGTTTTGGAAATTGTTCACAGTAGCCTTTACCAATGTTATATATTAAATTCTTAGACCAGCAATTCCTGATCCCTATTCTTAAAACAACTACCTCCTTCTCCTAGATATTATCTAGCCACTATCTCATTTTTTAAATTTTTTTATCTTATGCAATTATACCACTTAAATAAGTGGTATAATTTTTGTACCAGATATCTAGCTTTCTATTATCCCTGTTGCTTAGGACAGGCCAGGGCAGTAAGTATGGGACCAGGGCTAGATAAGTGAGTCCAAGTCTTTATGTCCAGTACCTCCTCACGTTTTGAAAAGCGTATGGGAAATGTGCTTGTTCTATAAAGACTGAATCCAGACAAAAACATTGGGTGAATCAAGGCCCAAGTCTGTTGGGCGTATAGGTCTCCCATCAGAGAGAATCTGTAGGTGTATCTGAAGTCTTAGGGAACGGATGGCCTGGGGAATCTGCCCAGAGATTCTCTGGTAGGAGCCTATGCTTGCCCTAACCCTTGCAATCCCTTTCTGTTGACTGATTAATTGGCAATGATTTTCATTAGTAAATACACTTTCGAGAGCTGAAGGGATAACCCAGTCAGTAAAGTGCTTGTCGTGAAAGACATGAGGACCTGCGTTCCATCACCAGAACCCATGTGTAAATCTTGGCACCGTAGCATGCACTTGTAACCCCAGTGTTGGGGCACAGGACAGAGACAGCAGGATCTCTGAGTCTTGCTGGTCAGTCAGTCTAGCCTAATCTGTGAGCCTGAGGTCTTTGTTAGAGACCCTGCCTCAATCAATAAGGTGGGTGGCTTCTGAGGAACAACACCCATGGCTGAACACTAGCTTCCATGTGCATACACAGGAACATGTGCACACATATGAACACATACATACACACAAAGTAAATGTTCACATCTTTTACTCTGACACTCACTTCCTTCCCCCTCCCCCTCCCTTGCCCCTCCCCTTCCCCCCTGCTCTTGTGGTCTCAGAACAAACACAGGCCTGCAGGTTCTTT